ACAGACAGACAGACAGACAGACAGACAGACAGACAGACAGACAGACAGACAGACACGCCGAACATTCACAAACAAATGCAAAAGGAGAGGTGCACAAAAAGACAAAAGCCATCAAACACAACACAAAACGTTCACACAACACTCAGACAGACAGACAGGTCACGTGATCTGCCCCGGTTGACTCTTCAGGAGGAAGAGGCACGGAAGGAGGCCCTCAGCATCATGACAAAGAGCCCCAGTAATTCCTCCTGGAACAATGACTTCGAGGCTGGGGTTCGAACCGCTGGCGACAAGGCTGAGGAGAAGGAGCGCCTCTCACTTACCAGTGACCATTCAGCCACTAGTGCTCACCTCAAGCCCAGCAGACTCAACCAGAAACGGGTAAGTAAGCAAAGAACTTTGGAACTGACTATATTATTACCCTCCCCTCCCCCCTTTCTCCGCCCCCTCCCTACCACGAAGATGGTGAAAGATCCACAGGATTCTCCGGAACCACCTTCATTTAACCATCACTTCTTCCTCAGAATGGGGTGGGTAAGCAATTTTAAAACGAGCCATATTATTATCATGCTCCTTACCACCACCCCCATCATCCCCTTCCATTTTCCGCCGTCCCCTCTCCAAATCATTTCTTCCCCGCCGTTGGCTCCCCTAAAACTACTTTTTCCTCAATTTGTTTTGTATAGTGTGGGGTGACAGATCCCACTCCTGTACACCATTTTGAGACACAGTCCCTCTCTTGCTATAACGGCAGACAAGAACATCAGCGCACATGACGTGTAGCTGTGTGGTGTTTTCTGGAGGGAACTGTCTCTAACTTCGTTTGTGTCTTGTTCCTATTTCCTGAAAATTGGGTCAATATATGTCTGCTTTTGCGGATTACCATTAGAACACTCGATAAATGTACCAGGAGAAGGAAGAAATTGACTGTTAATCAATATTTCTAACTGTCAACCAGTCTATTAATCGACTAGAAAAACCTACGTTCATGACCATGGACTCAAACTTGAAGAGAATACTCTTGTTTCTGCACAGTATCTCATCTGCATAAGAGATACTGTTCTTTAGAACATTATCCTAAAATGTGGAAAAACAGTGGTGAGGCAAAGATAATTCAGGAGGAGAAGAAGAAGAAGAGGAAGAAGAAGAAGAAGAAGAAGAAGAAGAAGAAGAAGAAGAAGAAGAAGAAGAAGAAGAAGAAGAAGAAGAAGAAGAAGAAGAAGAAGAAGAAGAAGAAGAAACTTGTGTGTCCATGTGTGTGTTTGTGTGTCTGTGTTTGTGTACATATGTGTATGTGTGTGCGTATGTGTGTATTTGTTTGTTTGTTTGTATGTGTGTGTGTGTGTGTGTGTGTGTGTGTGTGTGTGTGTGTGTGTGTGTGTGTGTGTGTGTGTGTGTAAGGAAGAGACCGTTCACACAGCCTTGTCCACTCTAAACACCAATGTCACCAGAGAGACACCAGTCGTCGATATTTCTGTGACTTAATCACACATATAAAATTAACCCTAGTTTCTTTTGTTCTTATTGGCCTTCCGTCTATAATCTTCACAAGGGCACTGGAAGTCTATCTATTCAGTTTGCCCAGTTAGTGTACTTGCTTATCGTTACTGTTGTTTGTTGCAGCCAAATCCTTTGTTCGTTATTGTGTGTGATAATGTGTTACGCAAGTCCACCTTATGTATCTCTGTCTACCTAGGTATTTTTGTCTACAGACACACATACGTATACGTGTATCTGTAGTTAAAACAAACAACATTAGTATGTGTCTAGAGTCAGTCTGTATACTTTCTAAGTATCTGACTGGCTATAAACTAAGAATACGCCCCCCCCCCCCGACCCTGCCCCTATTTCGTTAGCCAATTGAGATCACCCCTCCCTCCCCAACCCCATCCTCATGTGGTTCAGTGTTGGTTTTAGTTAGACATGCACATGTCATGCACCGTAAACGTTGATATTATGTTGTTTGATATGAATGCTACATGTATTAAGTAAACATTGCCGGGGTCTTCGACAAATTTTGTTTTCAGTCCAGGATTTTACGTTCTCATTCCATTTCCCATCTGAAGACACACCTTTCCAGATCCGAGTCAAATTGACAATTTTATTTTAAAATTTCGTTCCAGTTTAATCTTTTGGACCATTGTACCCACAGATAAATGATGTGATCGTCATTTGTTGTTTTCACTTTGTCTGTGATTACAGTTTTCCTAAGCATACTTGGTCTTTTTATGTTACTTACAAATAACCAAGCATTTTCAATTAGCGTTCAAGGCTGTTTTTAAAAGATCTACACACTTGAGAACGCTGAAAATGTACGCCTGTTATTCGCTGCTTCTCGGGTGAAATTGTGTCTTGTGCAGCAGTACACACCTGTTTTTGACACATTGTGCTAATATGATACATAATACCAGCTAGTCAAGAATTGAAACGTTGGGTACAGCCTTAGACTTGTGTGCCTAGACTACAGACTTTCAAGACCGCCGCTCTTTACTCTCTATAACACCTGCGTTGCGAAACTTGTACTTGTACATCATTGGCCACGCCAAAATGATAACAATACACTAGTTCCTGTAAAGTCGAGTGCGTGCGGCACCTTAATCCCTTTGCCCTTCATTTGCCTCAAATCGAGTCAAATTATGGTGTCCCCCAAAGTGAACCGGAAATACGCCAGAGTGCACAGAGTAAGATGTTTTGTACCAGTCTATGAACACACCTAGCACCAGAAAACATTTGTGTCAGCCTTTTGTGGTATTGTTTTCCAGCATAGTTTAGGATTGTGTTGTATTGCACTCGTGGTTCTGTTCGCTCTGTTAGTGAAAGTCAATTTGCCCTGTTCATCAATTGGACTGGAAGCAGTCTGTTAAAAAGTGTACGATCATATCATGCGTGTTTCTTTGTGTTCCAGTGTTGTCGTTACGCCAAGTAGTATAGTACCAGCTTTGCTTTGCATCATCAGGCCTCCCATTTGGTGTTGCAAAAATTCGCTGGTCACATTTCTTATGCCACTAAAACTTGCTCTTCGTTTTACCATCAGTTTTGGCTTAGCCCAGCTTTGCTTCGCTCACGCATTCGAGTTTGTCTTGTGTGTTTCAGCATAGCCTCAGTCTGCCTGGCTCCCCCTACATACATCGGAGGAACAGCAGAGGCAGCCAATACAGCTGGCGAAAGCCTGTGCCAACAGCGAAAAGGTCACCGTATTGCCCGGATCGCCAGCCACTGGTGCACCACACTTTGGAAAACCTCCCTCTCCCATTCGCGGATGACTCAGCGGCCGTCACTCCTTCTTCTGAAGATCTATGCAACTTTAGTTTTATCCGGAACATGCCGAACGGAAGGCGCTTCAGCTTCGCCTCACAGCGCAGGCCTGACGGGACCGGGCGCTCCGGAAGTAGACGCAGCAGCTTTGCGTCCAATCACAGCCGAGCATCACGCACCAGCAGGGGTTCCGGGCAGGGGGATCGTACCAAGACGCAGACGTTACTGAATTTCAAGAAAGGCAAAGTCCCGGATGTGGTATTAGACAAGTCAAAGCTGGATGATGACGTAAGATTTCTCACAGCATGTCCTGGTGTGGTAGCTCCCTTCATACATGATCACCCAACTTCACTCATGTTTCATTCAGATGATCACCAGACACGAAATTCAACTGGGTATGGCCAAAGTTGGATGAGTTGGAGGAGAATATTTACATTTAACTACACAATAACAACATTGCTTTGCCAAGGGGAAAACTGAAATCAGCTCGAAAAAATACTAGTCTCACACTCATAATAGGTTTGCTCGTCCATCTGTTTCAAGAGATAGAGAAAATGTTAACCACATTCATTTATTCATCTATCACTCCTTCTCCATTTCTTAGGGAAACTATTGCTGTAGCTTTTTAACATTAATATAAATCTTTTAAAAGAGAGATTAAGAGAGAGAAAGAGAAAGAGAGAGAGAGAGAGAGAGAGAGAGAGAGGG